TGTCGTTTTACAGCATAGTATTAAACGTATGGATTCAGTCATCCAAAAAAACCTTAGAGAGTTTAGAACCTAGCTCTACGGATCGAATTTCGACCGCTGTCTGAGAGGAGAATTCTAGCGGTCAACTACCGTGACTGGTAGATTTTCCGTTGTTCTTTCCTTAGTCTACACAAGGCGAACGCAGGATCAGTACCTAACAGCGAGCCACGGACGAGTGCAATTTTTCCTTTATCATTGTCCCCTATTCAGTCAAACACAGCCCTAACAAACAAACAAACAAAACAACAAACACAATATCTTACATGCCGGCAGACACCTATGGGGAACTTCGTGCTTTGAGGCGGGTGGGACGGTGCTCTGCTTGGGACAGGACACTGGAGATGGGGAAACACGCAAGCCGACGTGTACGTCGGGCTGGATTTCAACGTTCTAGCAGGGACTGGATACAACTGATTCTAATCATGTATTAACGACGAGGCAGGATTGCCTACGTCGTTTCACGCTCCTACAGTACCGACAGAGTATAAGCGACTGAGATACTTGTCGCTTCGGTTTACGCACGTTGCGGCGGCGTTGGAGTAACGGTTAGCGTACCGGACTGTTGTACCAAGTTGGGCGTGTTCAACCCGTCGAAGCCCGTGGAATTTTTAAGGGCGAAAATCCTGCGTACGCCCTTCCTTAGGACGGGAAAGTAAAGTCGGCTGTCCCATGTTAGTTAGATTTACTTTGCATGTAATGATCTTCAAGGCCTAATGAGCCTAAAATTGAAACCGGCATGTTTTTCATCCGCCACAGAAATACCTTCTTTCATCTTGCTAGTTCGTAAAAGGAGGTAGCGAAATGTGCGTGTCCAGACGGGAAGAGCAGGCCTCAATGGCCCATGAGTCTCCCCACGTAAAATAACGCATTAAGGCAATCAATTCAATTCATGCTGACCTCAGAAACAAGGTGACCTCAGCTGGTGTTTAACTTTCCCCACAGCAAGGGGCGAGCTTTGGCGGTTCATTTGACTCAGATGTCCCGGAGGCGATAAGGTTATATTGTTGGAAAGATACGAACATATATCAGACGTATCATCTCCTGTCGGTAGTTAGTTAATGTTTTTGTGATTTCATTTTTTCCGTCTTGTGACGTGGTGCCATGTTCGTAGTAACGTGTGACAACAGCGGCATCGAACTGTTAAAGTCGCTTATATGGCTGCCGGTACTGTACAATGAATAATAGGAAGTTGTGGTGCCACCGCGGATGTTAAAACACACTCGATCTATTCTGCGCATGCGCAGATCACGTTTTCGCACCCACTTGAGTGCATCGCACAGAAGATCGATAGTGCTGACACATGCACAAACTCCCTAATTCCCAAATTTAGTGGCAAGACCGCTTTAGTGCATCTGCGCATGCGCAGGATCGAGAGTTCTGACGCTTTGGCGTGCACAAAACTCCCTAATTCCAAGCTTTTAGTGCAAGCACCACTTTAGTGCATCTGCGCATGCGCAAGATCGATAGAGCTGCATTATGGCATGCACTAACTCCCTGATCCGTGACCTCCAACGCGTGGCTGTGTGCGCAGGTGCGTGACGGGGCGCGACGGCGCGCCCGAGGTGTGGCTGCTTGACGTCGCGCTTCCAGCGGCTGATGGGGTCGGGGTCGACCCACGGACTTCACTTCCGCGTGCTGCGCGCGCCCGTGCGCCTGCTCGTCAAGGGCACCAGTTGCGACCAGCCGCGCGGCGGCGTCGAGGGCGCCCCAGCGCCCGTTTCCTACCGGCCAGGGCCCCGCCCCGGTACACCGAGCAAGTCCTCCCCGTGCCCTAGCGTACCTCAACAACCCCCTCACCTTTGTCCTTGGTCTTGCCTTCGCCGCGGACCACTCTCCCGGCCAAGCACAAGCCACTTTCTGACTCTGATTTGAACACACTGGCCCATGTCAGGTCACGAGCTGCAGAAAGGCGATGGAGACGTGTCACATAATCGGGGAGCTCCAATATCAAAATTTAAGACCGTCGAAGGTCCGTTGAATGGACCCTCTCTCCATCCATCTCGTGGCTTTTGAAGTGACACTGTGTTTAAATCGGAGTATAACCTCGTGGCCATTTACTGGTGCGAGACGGGTTTGTGGAAGGAGATTCATTGCACTTGTTACTCGCCTCGACGCTCTCTCGGCCCAAGCACTGTGGCACTTCTGTACTCGATTTCAAACACACTGCCACGTCAAGGTCACAAGCTGGACGAGTATGGGGCGTTGTCATTAATCGGGGGAGCCTTCGAATATCAACATTTAAGACGTCGAAGATCCCGATTGAATGACTGTGTCCCTCTCTCCATCCAGATCATGCTTGTGGGAAGCGACACTGTGTTTAAAATCTGGAAGCCATAACGTCTGGCCATTTATTGGTTGCTAAGACGGCGTTTTGTGGAAAGGAGTTCAGTGCACCAGGACACGCGAATGAGCAATTTTGGATTTATTTTCTTGTTACCTCAACGCTAACAGATTGGACCATGGCAGTGTCTCCTAATTCTCTCATACCTTGTGCCCTCATTCTCTTTGGTTCCACGTGACATCGCCGATCCTTATTTCTAGGTTGCCTAACAGATTTCTTCGTCCCCGCTTTCAATTCGAGTCCTTTTGGGAGTGGAATTCAAAAAAAAGTTATTTCTAACTTCCTTTCGTACTTTCGCACCAGTAAAAATGTAGTACTCTCTAGATCGAAAATAACGGAGCACACAAATATGCGCTTAAAGCGCTTTAGCTAAAACGTTCCCTTACTGAAACGCGAGTAGAAAAATAATTATTTTCTAATACCGAATAAGACAGTTTTTGGAATTCCGAGAACTTGTTTTCAAGGTACACCTTTTTATTTGGTGGTATAACGTCCATGTCTGCACGCCGAACGTAATATATATTAGTGGAGTATGCGAGAAATTGTCACGATTTCTCGCTGATTTTTCCTGAAACCAGTGCCAGTCTTAGCTAGTTTTGTTTTCGCTCAACGGAAACTGTTACCAGCGTATAATTCTGATTTGGAAAATAACGTTGTCTTTTGTTGTTGAATACCGCTTGGCAGGTATTTTTAGTTACTGATATCTGTGATTAAATATATTGATATACTTTTGAGGTCACAAGAAATTAGATCATCTTTAGTGACTGGAACATGTAGTCTTTGTCCTGTGATGATTTGACGCTGAGAAAATTGGTGTACTTATTGTGTACGAATACAAATATCTCGCATCCAAACCTTTCAAAAAGGTTTCTAACGTGTTACATGGCATTTAAAATTTATTAAAGTAACAATTATTATAATGGTAATGAGAAGTATGGGCAAAACAATGATATGTTCATTCTCAATTTGATAACAGAAATTTGAAAAATATTTATAATATAGAGTTAGACTTGCGTGCATCACAAAAGAACATTCTAAAAACAATTAGTTAATCATACAACATTTAAAATTGAGTGCCAAAATCATCATAGATTGCGTAGAATAGTTCTATAAACTACATTTCGCTACATCTAACCATGAGGAAAATACGATTATATTAATCTGCAAACTCCGATTCAAAACCGGAAACTTGCTTTAACTGATTGGGGTTTCTTTTCAAAGTCTCACGTAATCTTTTTATTTTTTACAATTACGGGTAACATTTATTGGAGCAGGGACACCTTTTTTTTTTATAATGGCCTCAATGTCACCAAGAGGCAAAATTAAATTTTCTAATTGTCAAATTTTAAGTGCCCAAATTTCATTAATTAAAAAAAATTAAGTGTTGATATATCCGTATGCAGATTGAAATTCCCTTCAATAGTTTTATTTGAAGTAGTTTAGACGTTAGATGAAAATGTATGGTTATGTTGTTCTTGAAATGTATTTGTTTATGTTTTTATTGTATTATATTTTGTTATTAAGTATTCAGGAATTTATCCTGGAATGTAATGTATATGGGTGCCGACTTTACTTTTTAAGTATGAGGCACATTTTCTTCTATGTCTGTCTTTATTCTGCAAGTAGTAATTAGTTTGTCAGCATGCACCGAATATATTTATCATATTGTTTTTATCTTTATAATATACACCATTTGCTGAACACAGGCATACACAACTTAACCAGATTGAATCTTATTTACCCTAAAAAACATTAAAAACTGTAAATGATTCATTTGTGTTATGTTAATGAAATTCTCACATATGAAGAATTCCACATACTAAACATATGATAAAAACAAATATATAACTTTTATTTTATTATTTTATTAAGTAAATCCATCCAAGATCAATGAAGCCACTGTATCCAAAACACCACCACCACTGAAATACCACACATAAATTTTCCTTCATTACTGCGTGTAATTAAATTTAATTCAGATAATTCCCCATTATCCTATAAAACTTGTTTGCTCACAAATGCTATGTGCATGTATCACATTACAGTGTTTTGCAGTTAAAAATTAACTGCAAGAGAGAAATAACTTCTGCAATACTAATGGCAATGTTGTATGTCCTTTCCTGTTCTATTTTCTCCTTGGAGATTTGATATTTTTCCACCTGCACGAATTGTTGGGCCATCTGGAATGTTTTTACAATTTTTTGGTAAATCTAAAAATGTATATATATGCACGTCATGAAATATGATGCAAACTTTGACACCTCTAACAAATGCATTTTTCAGAACTGAGCTTGTAAGTTGGCAAGTAGTATTGCATGAGTATGTGCATAGGAGGTGGATACTCAGGTGAAGAGAGTTTATTAGATGATTATTTTTCTAGTTTTAATAAATCCAAAACAATAAGATGACTTAAAGTGCGATTTATCTAAAATGCATCTAGGATTTATTTATCTACTAAACAACACAAACGAATATATTTCATGGATGAAAATTGCTTAGAAAAATAACTGAATTTGACAAAGTAGATGTATATAAGATCTTAAATGACTCCCGATTATAGAATAAAATTACGTTTTAAATAGGGTAGGTAAAATAGGGAGGGAATCATTGGATAACATACTCATGTTGGTGCTGTTTTTTTTCTTTTAAAATAATAAATGTAGTTAAAAGGTTTATAAAGAGCTAAGAGGAATATATATCTTTATGAAACACTTACTATCATTCATTCTTTGCCAGAAAAAGCAATACACACATACAACACATTACACCACGCACGCACGCGCGCGCGGGCGCGCCAGCGATTATTCAAACTCTAATTTTTTTTTTTTACCAAATTTTTTTGGGGAATGCTACCGAGGCGATCAAAGGCTTCCTGCGGTGGTGAAATTTTATTATAGCTCATCTCCTTATTTGAGGAAATTCATTTAACGGTATTTTTTGTTATATTTCAACAATTATTCAAATTCTTCAAATCTGCTAATGAATTGTTCTCTTATTAGTAGGTTCTGTAAGGTTATTTCTCCATATTTAGAACTTACGCGGATATTAGAGCATTGGAATTGAAAGAGACGGCGTTTTATTGTGGAAATATTAAAACCTAGATAAGTCTGGATCTCTTAGGCACCTCATTTTGTCTGCGACATTCTGAATTTTTTTTTAAATTTATTTACCTAACTTTCAATACATTAATAATGGGTTTGTATCTGCAATAACACGAATTAGGTAGGACAAAGAAAAGTGAGACTTGTCGATATCAGAAGAGTCCCATAGACAGATGCCAGAAACTTGCCAGAAATTGAAAATCTATTGCCAGAAATAAAAATCGTATTAATAACTTTGCGATAAGATATTGGCCTTCACTAATTACAAGAATGAAATCATATTAGAGTGGAAAATTATATATTTTCACTTGTTTTCCATAAAGGGTTTCCAAAGGCTGGTTTCAGTGTTATCATATTCCAAAAGAGAAATTAAAATGAATTCGATATTTCGGATCGCAAAAGGCGTTGCAACGAATAAATAAAAATAACATTATAATTATCAAATACATATTACAGAATATCCCTTATCAAAAACAAGCTTGGAAAACTCCTAAGTATGTGATAGGAGATAGAAGAGAGAAAGTTAGAGTGTGAGTGCGTTGACTTAAATGTTCTCTGGAAGTTCTTAATATAAATTTTAAACTGAACTGTTCCGGCTTACCTTTATTGGACATTAGAAATGTATTTATGTACAAACACTTTTACATAATTTTTTAACACATTTTTTCATTCAGGAAAATTAGCGTTAATTATTGTTTAGTGTGATGCCTCATATGCAGGATTTCAGTTTCATCCACAGGAAGTGTTTGAAGGCCTAACCCATCACAGTCAATATCTTTGAACACTATGAATAAAGTATTCCGAAAAAAATAAGAATGTATCTCTAAAATTATTACGAAAATGCTACAATTGATGCTAAATATTTTCAGTAAATAATACTGTTATCAATTCATCGCTTCAGCAAAAAATGATTTAATTTACTGAAAAAAGACACCAATTTCAATAAAATGTTCACATGACCACTTGTAACTTCCGAAATGCAAGTTAATGAAGCAGTGGAATAACCTTGCCCCTTAGATGGACATAAATATTATTATTTTCATTGACCTTTTTCTGTCGACTAAATATTTCTTTACTTATAACAATCAACATAAGTATGGAGTCGTCGTGTTTTCACTTCTACATCATAAAGTACTTTTCCTTTTCAGGATCAGTTCTTGGAGGAGGCTTACGAAAATATTTGGTCATATCGAGAAGGCATGCATGATTGTTTTTAACAAACGCCATTGCTATAAACGTTGTCTGCTGTAAGCCAGAAAAAAATACCACCAAATTGTTAAACCGGAATTATGATTATTCGTAGTAATCAAATCTAGGCTTAAATGTTGAGACAGCCAGGGAACAAAGGTCACCGTCTGAGAGCTACAAATTAAATGATAATTTTCCAGTTCAATAAAATTTCAGTACCAGTATTAAATTGTGAAAGTACCGACCAGTTTGTTTACCTTGATTTCCTTTCATTACTTATCCCTGTAAAAACTGGAGGGAGTATGCTGCAATATTTTCAATGCTTCGTTCACAAGGGTTACATTTGAATAGTCGTAGTTTATTAAATTATATTCCGGGACAAGGATTTTTTGTTTACATATTTATTTACGAAATTTATTACCAAATACAGAGACCTGCATCGACGTTCACAAAGTCGAAGGGAAGGTTTAAGCCAAAAATATTTGCTAAAACAAAAGTTGGGGAAAAAGGGTGAATATGTCATTGCGTAAGCGCTTCCCGGAAACTCCTTTGCGTATCTCTTACATCCTGAGTCTGCTCGGTGAAAGTATTACAACCTTATTCAGTACATGACAAAGATCTGTCAAAGCAGAGGATATCGGCACATTTCCAAAAAAACGTTAGCTAAATGTATTAAATCTACAAAACGGGCGATTCCTCGCCAAAAGGGATAGTACAGAAAAACCTGCAGTGCATGTGAAATTATATACAAAAAATTTTGTAACACTAACAGCAAAAACCTTAGCATAAATTGTTGATTTCATTATAGCATGTAGTTCTAAAACTATATTAACGTTCATTCATTATTCACAATTTATTCAGGGCGTCCGCCGCTGACCCACAGGGCATTCGAAATAGCATTGATATTAAGCATCGCTTATTATTGAATTAGCAGGGATGCATTGACTCAGCCAGAAAAAATAGAAAATTTTCTTCTAATTTTCGTGGTAAGTAAATGATTTAGTTTGGGTACAGCGGTTCACATGTCCACTCCACCATGGCTAAAGAAAGATTATATCTTTGTTTTTCTTAATAAAACTTAATTGTTTTTTTGTAAACTCTAATGAGTATTTTCGGTTCTCAATATACATTGGATTATCCGTTAATGAAAATTATAAAAACTTCTGTACAACTTTTTTTAGAGTGTGAATGTTAATTGCCGTAGGATTAAGAAAAAAATATTTTGTATTATTCAGAAGACGGTAACCAATGTCAACGGTCAAACGATTGACATTTTCTGTCATACTCTGTGCTTCCTCTAACCAACCTTCTCTGTCACCTTGACACAAATTTCTTATATTCTTTGCATAAATAACTCTCAGAAATTTAACGTTTTGAAACCAATTTAACGGGAAATGTTTCGTCCACCGTTGTTAAATATTTTCCTTCCAATTACAGCCATGGTTTCAGAGGCGAGAACATCGGCATCGATAGATGAGGCAATAGCCTGACTCATACAAAATTATAAAAATTATTGCGTTATCAATATCTTAGACATAAACTTTACTCTTTGAGTGCAAGAGAGGTGTATCCGTAAAAAATACAAAGCTGAGAACTATAGATCTAGCGCAGTTCGTGCAACGCAAGTTTCCTCAAAGTCTCTCGCAAAAAATGTCGTCAGAATCTCGACGCTCGGTGGTTTATTAGATAACCATTCTACCGCTTCAATGGTTAATACCTATTTTGAGAGTTGGCGAATGTGTAGCGCGGCTATAGGTTTCAGTAATAACTTGTGAGCTCGTAGAAGATCGATTGTCGAATTTGTTTTATTTATGTGCTTATGGTAGCGTTCCTCAATACTTGACAGTGGCATTCACGGCGCGCTTCTCTAGTGGTGCCCAAGTCTCTATAGGTCCTGTCACAAGAGATATATTTAGGAGACTGCACTACTCTCAAATATTTAGACTGCAAAAAAATTCATGTGTGTCTACTTACATTTAAACGAGCAATATAATGGAGCAACATACCAAAAGCATTTTCCGTTAGGTTCGTGAACGATATTTTTTTTAGGATATCTCTTGCAAAATTATGTACAAATGTTTTTGAATCACTAGACAAAAATGGATTGGATAGTTTTTAATAGGAACTGAAACCACTTTAATGATAATTTCTCACAAACTTGTAACATGTTCGGACGGAGAAAAATTTGACTACTGAATTTAAGGAAACTTTTCCAATCTAACTAATTAATTAATGTTATACTAGCTCCAAGTTATCAAAGAAATGATATTTTTTCTGGCTTTAAAAAATAAACACTTCACAGATAAACACAGAAAACGCAAGCAAATGTTGCCAGCTTGTAACCTTGTTTCAATTGGAAAACAACTCTTGTGCAAGGGGCTTTAGTTGCAATATGTGGGCGACGGTTACATAACTTTACGACCGTGAGACGCCAGTTTGCTGTTGACACTGACCAGCGTCTCGACTCGCTGGAAGGCGAAAGGCGTCGGTTCCGAATTGTTTGGATACAGCGTTCCTCACGTCCCACGAGATAATATTCATTTCGATGTTGGTGGAATCTTTCTTGCAGACAAGCCAATAATCATAATAATTGACAAAACCGATATCGAACGAATATATATTATTTCATTTTATTATCAGACTCAATGGACTTTGCCAGAAAACCAAAGATTTCTAAAACAATTCCAATATTATTTTAGGAAGCCAGGAGATTTATTGAAAAAAATTGATTTCAAAAAATGTCGGGTGAAAAAATGAAACGTGTTTTTGATTTTTTTTTAAACACCACGATATTTCCTACACCCTTTCCTCCTGTACTGCAGAAATTAAATACGAACTGGACAAATCTACTTCATTGAACATGCAAAGAAATAGCACTTATCGAGACTGGCGGATTCTTAGGGTTAAGTAATCGACAGAGAAATTTTTAAAATCTTTTACAAATTATAAAAGTAAGAAGGTGAAATCAATGACAGATCTAATTATGGTATATTCAGGCACACTGGACATTAACCCAAAAATAATAAATATCATCGTGCATTTACTTCAACTGCGTAGCAACAACAGTTACGTAGTAGTGTTTCAATGTAGTTCCATAGTGCTAAAGGCCAGAGCCAGAGAAAAAAAGACACTCTTGCGCAGCGAACGCTCATTCGTGAAGTTTTGAGAACATGCCAAATATTTTTGGAAATGTCATTTTATATTCTTATGTTCATTTCTGCAGATCTATTTAAACTTTTTCGAATTAGAAAATAATGGAGTTCAAATGACAGTTGGAACGTTGTCTGTAAGGTTATCGTAAGCTTTACATATTGATGACCTTAACTTTTACAATGCTCTCCCAGTGCACTCCT